TTTCCTCCTTCACCTCACGTGCTCCCTCTACTCATCTGCATCTGCTTTGCTACACTATACTTCTCTGGGAATTTGCCCATTTCCTCCACTTTTTCAAATCCATCAGTGTAAAATTGTTTCATAATATCCACATTATTGCTGTAATGTCGGTGACACAGCAACATCACTTTGCATCTCTGATGCTGATTATATGTGCCTTCTCTCTGTTCTTAACAGGTCAGAGATTTGTCCATTTTCTTCATTAGTGGAAGATGAAATATTGTTGATCCTGATTTAGGTTTTTCTGCTTTATTGATTTTGTGTTTATAGTCTTCTTTCTACTTTGCTGGAGTTTATTTTGCTGTTCTTTTTCTAACTTCTTGAGATGGCTGCTTTAGCTCATTTTTCAGCTTTTCTTCTTTTCTAATATGTGCATTTTTAGGCTACATTTCATTCCAAGTACTGCGTTAGCTAAATCCCACTATTTTTGATAAGTATTACTTTCATTATCATGCAGTTATATTTTCTAATTTCCATTATATCTTCTTTGACCTATGGATTGGTAGAAGTATATTTCTTACATTTATAAACGTGGATTTTTATAATTATCTTTGTTTCTAGCATAATTGCCTTGGAGTCATAGAATATGCTTGGTATAATTTCAGTTCTTTGAAATTTGCTTTATGGCCCAATACATGGTCAGTTTTTACAAATGCTCCATGTGTAACTGAAGAGAATGTGTTTTTTATAGTTGTTCAGTGCAGTGTTACACAACTGTCCAGTGGGTTCTATTGTTCAAATTATACTCCTGACTTAAAAAAATTTTTTTGACTTCTATCCATTGCTAAGAGAGGTATATTAAAATTTCCCACGTTGGTTGTAAATTAGTCCATTTCTCCTTATATTTCTACCAACTTTTGCTGTATATATTTTGAGTATGTTATTCGGTAACGGTCCATTCAGATTTAAAACTCATCTTCCTGGTGAATGGAACATTTATCATATGTCTCTCTTATCATTACTCTTACTTTTTGTTTTAAAGTCTGTTTTGTGATATTAATATGACTACAGCAGCTTCTCTTTGGTGCTTCCATGGATATATCTTTTCCTTTTATTTTAGTAATCTTTATTTTCTTAAGATGTGTCTCTTGTAAACCACAAAGTTAGATTTTCAAAACTTGTCTGAAATCTTATGCCTATAGTAGGAGCACTTAGTGTAATGTAAAACAAGATTAGATTTAAATCCAATGTATCAGTACATTGGATTTAAATCTAATCTTGTTTTTTAACAATACTTATTGTAAGACCTTTATATGGAATCGATTTTTGTTATATTGTAGAGATTCAGTTCATCTTTTTCCATGTGGATAAACATTTTTTCCCAGATACTTGTAGTGAACAGTGCCATCTGTCCACATGATCTGATATGCCACATTTGTGATATACCAAAGATACATACATCCATGGGTGTTTCCGGCTCACAATTCTGTTCCACTATTGCTTCAAAATACATCCTGGTATCTAGCAGAGCAAGTCTTCTTTTCTCTCTTCTTCTTTATAAATATCCTGGCCCTTTATTCTTCAGTATAAATTTAAAAATCATAATATCAAGTTCCATACAAATCACTATTGGGATTTTTATTTGATCTACTGACTCTTTAGATCATGAAATCTTTATAATACTGTCTTTCTATCCATAAACATTGTATCTTTCTCCATTTCTTTAGCCTTCCTTTGATATCTCAGTAAAGTTTTATAATTTTCTATATAGAGGTCTTGGATATATTATAGAGTCCTTGGTGTTCTCTGATAGGATAATTGGTGTTTTCTCTTAAATTGTATTTTCTAGTTGTTTTCTTTTAGTGTGTAGAAATGCAACTGACTTTTTCATATTAATCTTATATTGAGGCACCTAAGATGCTTTTTCTGAGTCTATGGAGGTCTGTTATTGTGGTGAATTAATTTTTGTTTTTTTCTAAATCATCCTTGCTTACCCAGGATAAACTCAACATGATTGAAGAGTGTTATCTTTTTTATACACTGTTGGATTTTTTGATGTCTTATTTTGGAATTTTGCTTGTATATTTGAGTGAAAACAGGTAGAACTTTTATTTATATCTACTACTCTTTTTGCCTGGTTTGGTAACAGGGTTTTCCTGGCCTCACGGTATAAGACAGAAGACTATTTCTTTTTCTGTGATCTGTAAGATTTTATGTAGAATTGGAATAATATATTTCTTGAGAATTTGGTAGAATTCATCTATAAAATTATCTGGGCTTTGTGTTTTCCTTGTGGGAATTTTTACACTGCTTCTGTTTCTTAAATTATTCATGCCTTTTATTTTTTCTAGACTCAGTTCTTGTAAGTTATACATTTTTAAGAATTTGTCCTTTCTATCCAGATTTTAATTATCTCTTTACACTTTACATGTTATATGAAACTTTTTTCATTAATATTTATTTCTATATTTTTTCTTGATCAGTCTTATCAGTAGTTTCGTCAGTTTTTTTTCCTCGAAAAATCAGCTTTTGAAACTTCTTTATTTTACTTTTTCCTATATTATTAATCTCTGCTCTTATTTTTTTTCTTTCATTGGGTTTATATGTTGAACTTTCTGTAATTTCTTAGAATGGAAACTCGGAAAAGAAAAAACCCTCAAAATTCATGAGCTTATATACCTATTTAAGGCAATGCATTTCCTTCAAAGCACTGTCTTTGTTACATCTAGCCAGTTTGTTATCTTTTCATTCTCATTCAGTTCCAGGTATTTAAATTTTTTCCATTCTAATTTATTATCTATGATTTCTTTAGCAACTTAAAAATTTTTCCAAATATGTGGGGACTTTTTGTCATCTTCATCATACCTTCTAACTTATCATAGATCATGGTCTGTATGCTAGCTACCCTCTGTAAATTTGTTGAGGCTTTCTTTAGGATTTAGTGTATGACTGATTGATTTTTGCATACGTTCCATGTATACTAGAGTAAAAAGTATGTTCTCTGATTGTTGCAATCATGTTTGTATATTTCCTGTATTGTTTCAATCTCCTTCATGTCATTGCAGTTTTTTTCCCACAGTTCACCTATTAATAATATATGACAGGGGTGTACTGAAGTCTCTCAAACTCCTACTGTAGCAATGGATTTATCAGTTTCTTCCATTACTACCAATATATACTTTGTATATTTGTAGATTTTCATCACGTGCATAATGTTTGAAACTATTATATCTTCTTGAAGAACTCAACCTTTTATCATGTAGTAACTCTTCCATCTCTAATAATGCTTTTGTCTTAAAGTCTCTTTTACCTGATAGTAATACAGCTATTACAGCTTTTTTGGTTAGTATTTTTGTGATATGTTTATCTTTTACTTTCAGCCATTGCACATCTTCATGTTCTGGATATCTCTTAAAAGGTGCATGTATCTGGATTTTAAAAAATTCCATCCATCAGTATTTCGCTTTTTAACTGGTGAGTTTCATCTATTTATAGTTATTATTCTTGGACCTATTTCTACTGTGTTAATTTACTGTTTTTGTCCTTTTTCTCTTAAATCCCTTCTTACTATTTAAAAAAAATCTTATATCCTTTTTTTCCTTTTAATAAGAACTTAGCATTCCGTCACATCTGCTGGTGTCTTCTATCTCCCCAAACCCCGTCACATTAACATCATCTACTCTTTTAATTCTGTGTTATGGGAATATTTCCTATTTTTCTTTGGTATGTATTATAGCACCTTCTGGATTTTTTTTTTCTCCCTTTTAAAGTACTGTGCCAGTATCATTTTCATCGTGAGTTTTTGTGTGGCACACTTTCTGAGGCTGTTCCCTGAGGACATGATTTTATTATGCCCTCATATTTGAATGATAGCTTGGCTGGATAGAAAATTTTACCTTGTAATTTCATTTTCTTCATTACTTTGAAAATATTACCCCAGCACTGGCTATTGAAAAATCTGATGTCAATCTGATTCTTCATCCTTGACTGACATCATTTAGTCCTCTCTGGAAGCTATTAGAATTTTTCTCCGTGGTATTCTTAATTTTCACTATGGTGTGGTCTAGGCAGAAGTTTTTCTTTCTCTCTTGTCTCTGGAGCTCTACTGGCCCTTTTAGCCTGAGGTTTTTCACTAACTATCTTTTTATTTTGGGAAGTTCCTCTCCATTATTTCTTTAACTATTTCTCCTCTCCACTTTTATTTCTTTTCTTTCCTACTGGGATTCCAATTGAATATATTATTTTAGTGGTTACTCTAGGAATTACAATATGTATACTTTATACACTCAAAAGTTAATGCACATCTTGACCCTTTTCTTGGGTAGCGTGAAGGCTTTAAAAAAGTTTCTTTCCATTTAACCCTTTTCTGACTTACATGATCACACAGTTGTATTTTATGCTTAGATTTTAAACCCCACATTATTATTTATGATTATTCACTGTTCGCTTAGCTTCACAAAGTTTCTTTATTCATTCATTCATTTTAAATCTTCCATCTGGGATCAGTTTCCTTCTGTTGGAGGTACATCCTTTAGTGCAGGTCTGCTGATGGCAAATTGAGTTTTTATTTGTCTGAAAATGTCTATTTTAACTTCACTCTGTAAAGATGTTCTTGATGGGTGTATAATTCTAGGCTGGCAATAAGTCCTCACATGGAAGATCGCATCTGACTGTCTTCGGGCTCCCATTATTACTGATGAGGTGACAGCTGTCAGTCTGCTATTCCTTGGGAAGTAATGTCTTTTAAAAATCTGGCTGCTTAATATTTTCTTTTTGGTTTAGCTTCAACAGTTTCACTGTATAAATTTAGGTGTAGAACATTCTCCATTGTTTTCTCTTCAGATATGGTCTCTTTCCTTCCAGACTAAATTCCACTCTCAACTAGGACGTGCCAGGGATGCCCTGGAGACTTGACCGAGGTTCTGCACTCTCACGGGCTCCCAGGACTGCTGGGGACACTGCTTCAGGGACTCACTCTGGGTTACTAGGTGGTAAGCCCTCTCTAGCTTCTCTTTTCCAGGTTTTGTCTCTTTATCTGAAGTGTTTGGTTATTTCTTCTGACCTATATTTACTCTGTGGATTCCATTCAACCTTCCCATGGAGTTCTCAATTTCAATTATTTTATTTTTCCTTTGTGGAATTTCTGTTTTGCTGCCTTTGGAGTTTGTCGTGCCACTTTTTACAGTTTTCTGTTTCTTGGTTTTCATTCCTTGGACTATGGGGACTCTGTCCTGTCAGCCTGTTTGAAGTCTCTGCATAGGACTTGCTAATATCAGATAATGTCACCTAGTTACAGTTGAATGTCTGGCTGAGCAGGGTCCCCTGCCTGTCCAGTGCCCACTTGCCTCCTTCTCCTTGCCTGGTCTTTGCCCTGCCCCACCGCCCTCAGAGGCCCCTTGCAGCCCCACTCACGGCAGTGGGTACTTCTTCCATAGTAGCTTGGCCGGCAGCGTCTGGTACACTGTCTTCTGCTTCCCATCCAGGCTGGGGCTGCTGGGGCTACTTTGTACAATCTTGGCGCACTCTATCTGTTCGTCCCAGGAGCCTGACAGCACGTAGTGGGCCTTGCCCTGGCCGTCACTCACCACGCCTGTCACCTGTGGACATTGGCAGGACCAGCATAGGGACAGGCCCACTCTGGGTCCTCTGAGGCTATGAGAGGTGGCCTTGCTTACCTTCCGGGCTACCTCTTTGGAGAAGTAGCTGTAGGGCAAGAACTTCAGCTGGCACCGGTCCTTGGTCTTATGGTTCACAATCTCAATGTCCCCTGTCTGGTGAGGGAGGGTAGTGTTCAGTGGTCTGTCTCCGGGCTACATGCCCCCACCCCGAGAGCACCCCCTGACCTGGTCGATCCAGAGCTTGCCCACAATGATGTTATGCACAGTAGAGGTACTTTTCCTCCATACGTAGTGATTCCCACTGGCCTGGAATTCTAAGTGGATGGCACCTGGAGGCCAGATGTAGTGTCAGAGGTCATGACCCACCATGCTGGACCCCAGCCAGCCTGCCAGCCCACAGTCCCAGGGTCTTGAGAACTGGAAGTAGGATTCATGCAGTCTGGGGAAGGGACACACTGGCCAGGGAGGTATTTAGGAAGCCTGTGGGGGTGGGGCTGAGAACATACCTACAGGGAGACTAACGTCACCCCTGAGGCCCCAAGCTGGCTTCTAGGTTGGCAAAACTCTCTCTCTTATCCAGAATGTCTTTCTTCCCTGGGAGAACACATGGTCCCAACTCACCTAGCGGCATGATGGAGAGATATTTCCCCCGGAACTTGCTGGAGATGGTGATCTCCTGCCAGAGGCTCCAGCCATTCTTGGAGAACACGTAGTGTGCGGCTGATGGAGGATGGTGGCTCACCTGAGACCAGACCCACAGGACATGAACATCTGCTGGACATGGGCCCAGGCCAGCCGGGAGGAACAGCCTGCCCTGTGCCCGGTATGAACAGCTCTGTGGCCCTGACAGCAGGTCTAGCTGCTACTCTGGGGGCCACAGATCCATGACAGTGCTCCAGGCAGAAAGGCGAGGGCATGGCAGTGAGTGCAGTCTGGGCAGCTGTCCTAGGCCTGCCCCAACCTGCTGTGGTCGTAAGACGAGGACTGGGGTGTCTCTATGTCTGACTCTTGGGCTGTGAAATGGAGATGATGACAGAGCCTGTGTCTTCAGGATGTCATGGTACCTGTGACAGGCCATGCTGAGGGCTGATAAAGTGGGTGTTACTCTCTACCAAGGGCTTCCATGCCTACTTTCTAGTTAACCTCCCCACTCGCCAGCAAAGGGGCATATCTGCTGTGCTGTGTTACATGGAAGAGGCCCAGACTGAGGAAGCCTTTTTAACCAAGGGACAGAGTTAGGCCCTGCCTCCTGGCCAGCCTGGCTCCAATATGGGAGTCCAAGTAGGTGACCTGCTCTGGGCCCACCCACATTGGGGCCCCTAGCACCTCCACCCCTTCCTCTCACAGCATTGTGTACCCCTGATCACTGTCTTTCTGCCAGGACACCACCATCAACTTTCCCTTGTCTGTTCTCCCTCATTTCTGTGACTCCTTTGGGCAAAGGGTCCTAGAGCTCAGCTTCTCCTCAGCCCCCTCACTCTCCAGGGTACTTCATTGCTATCTCATGGCATCAGTCATGCCCCTGCCCCAGAACTGCAGCTGTACCCTCCAGCTGCCCACTGGACACCTCCACTCAGATCGCTTCTCAGACTGATCAGAGCTCCTGATGCCCTTGCCTGCATCTCTCATCTCCCATCTCTGTAAGTGGCAGCCCCACTTTCTTCCTACATCTTAGAAGGACAAGCCAAACCTGCCACCCACTCCTGTGCAAAGGGTGAGTGTCCCTGAGCCTGCCCGTTGCATACACCAGGGCCCCCACACACTCACTAGAGCTTACCCAACTGGCAAACTCAGGGATGTGTGACCCCCAGGGCTGGCCCTGGGGCTCCGTGTTATCGCTTCCCTCTCAGGCAGTTGATCTGGTCTTTCTAGCTGCTCATACCAAATGCTTTGGAATCAGCGCTGGCCCCTTTTTCTCACGTTCCTAATCGAATCATAAGCAAATCCTGGCTGTTCTTTCTTCAAAACGTATCTAGAATCAGCCCCTTCCCTACTCCCACTTCCCCAGGCCACAGTACATGGTGCAAAGGCCTCCCTGCTCCATCCTTATGCCCCACACTCCACTCTCCATGGCAGCCCCATTAAACAAGTCCGAGTGTCATGCCTCTTCCATCTGCCAGAGTCCGCCAGCTGCCCACCTAACTTCCTCTCTCTTTGCCTTCTCTCACTCTCTCTGCATCAGCCAAACTGCTCCTTGACCAGCTCCTTTCTAAAAGAACCAGAACCATCCAACATACACAGTACCTGCCCCTGCCCCCCAGGCCATAAGAACAGTCATTTTTCAGCTGGCTGTACCCTCAACACCTGAATAGCATCTGGCACATCATGGGCACTTGATCCAACTCTGTTGAATGAAGAAATGCATTCACACAGTAGTTCAGGCCAAGAACCTAGGGTCACTTTTGTTGCCTTCCCCTGCTGCTTTCTCTCTCTCCACATCCAGAGCATCAGCAGATCCCTAGGTTCCACCTTCTCAACATGCCCAGGCTCTGACCTTCCCTGATCTGGCCACCACAGCTGCCTCCTACAGGTCCACATAGCAGCAGAGCATGCCTTTTAAACTCACCACTGGATTGTGAACCGTCTGCTTTCTGAGCTCAACCCCAGGGCCCAGAGCTGTGCCTGGCACACAGGAGGTGCAGTGGCAGCCTGACCTGGAAGCTCTATTCTGGACACCTTCTTGCATACCTGCCTGGGCCCTCCCAGCACCTACTGAGGCACCAAGAGAATCAGCCCTCTTCACACAAGGACACCATAGCTCAGGTTAAGATGCCAGTGCTGAGGCTCCCAGCCTGTGGCACCCACTTTTGTCTCTGCCTCGTGGGGATACTGTGTGTCTTTGCTGGGAAGGCATGGAGGTAAGTTGACCGCATGTCCCAGGGCAGGACCTCTGGAGCCTCATACTCTAGGCCTCCACTGTCACTGACGGGGGCCCTTGGGGCACAGATTCCTCTCTGCCAGCTCAGTGGTGACCCCATGCTCCAACCCACCCGGACTCCCCAACAGCACCCTGCAAAGGTCCCCCGACCACTGCTCCATGGTTCCTGGCTGGGACAGGAGTCCTCCCCTTCCCCTCACACTGTCCTCATCAAGCTATTCTCTCACTGCGGCCCTCACCATGTCCAGGAGGCCTGCTAGGACAGTGTGCCCCTGGGCCTGGGCCTGTCTTTGCCACAGGAGGCCAAGATGCTTGATTGGACCCCAGATTGATGGCCCTTTGGGAATGGGCATGTCAGGGTCAGAGGCTGCTTCCCATTTGTCTCATTCCAGCCTCCAGGCCTGGCAGGAGCAGCTTGGCTAGAGTGTGAGTCAAGGGCCTCACCTGCTCGCAGAGGGAGCGCAGGCCCATGTCATCGAGGCGGTCCAGCTCGAAGGTCTCCCCCAGCATGGGGTTGAAGGGCTTGGCGATGCGGTGCACAGTGGTGGAGTAGGAGGACACAGAGAAGGCGGCCACCAGGCACATCTGCTCCACGGAGCTGGTGCAGTGCACCGCCTTGTCCAGCAGGTGGTGGTACTCCAGGTCCTCTGTCAGCCGCTGGAGCATGGACAGGGGCTCGTTGAAGTTGACCTGAGGGCAGGCGGGTGGTCAGGCCGGGGTGTCCAGCTGAGAGGGTTGCTCCCAGCACAGACATGAGGTCAGCATAGCACCCTGGCTTTTCTCAGCTGTTCAGGAACATTGCTGCTCAAACGACACCTTCAGGGAGGTTCCTCAGGTGACTCCTAACACCACAGCCCTACTTGCTCGTCTGCCTGGCCTCTCCTGCCTCGGTTTTCTCCACAGCCCTCACCACTTCCTGACCTGCTGTGTCTTGTACTCTTGCATTATGTTTGCTGCCAGTCTTCTCCCCTCCCAGGATGTAAACGCCAGGAAAGTCAGGGTTTCTGACTTGTTTGACACGGAATCACAGGAATCAGTTACTGAATGAATAATGAAAAAGGGGGTTTTTCTTATTTTCTGAGCCTCTGCCTGGCCTCTCCTGCCTCGGTTTTCTCCACAGCCCTCACCACTTCCTGACCTGCTGTGTCTTGTACTCTTGCATTATGTTTGCTGCCAGTCTCCCCTCCCAGGATGTAAACGCCAGGAAAGTCAGGGTTTCTGACTTGTTTGACACGGAATCACAGGAATCAGTTACTGAATGAATAATGGACAAAGTGGGTCTTTCTCATATTCTGAGCCATTATGCAAGTGTTCTGTCAAGTGCTCCTGTGCAGGGCCCCCCATCTCAGCCTCAGATAGGGCAGAGTTACCCGCCCCCTGTGGTGCTGGGTTGCATCCCTGGGCTGGCCATCAGACAGGGTCTTCCTGTGTGCTCTCATTTCATCCTCCCAGACACTCTGAAGTGGATGCTTTTATTCTCCCCACTTTGCAGATATGGACACACAGGCCAGAGATGTGAAGGGACTCATCTCGGGTCGCACAGTAAAACCAAGTCTGGCCGGGAGCCCTTAAGCTCTTCCTTGGCTGAGGTGCCATTACAGCCTGGCAGCATGAGGATGCCTGCCCTGCCATCAGTCTGCTGTATGACCTTGTTGGGGTGGACACCAGGGACAGCTCCCAGCACAGAGGAGGACCTGCCTGTCCACCTACTCCCCAGTCCTGCCATACCCCATCTACGAGGCCAGACAGCAGGATATGGTGAGGCCCCGTCAGACGCAGTGGTGCTTTGGGGTTCCCCATGTCTCTGACCAATGCATAGGTCCTCCCTGGCTCCTTCCCTCAGGGCCTGAGGCCTCTGCTCTTGGGACACGATTCAATAATTCATTACACGCTTCCCAGATGTCATTAAGAAAATGACACCTAGGGCTGCCTGTGTTTGACACGAGGCATTACTTCTAGTCCACGCACAAGGAAACAGCCCCAGGGGACCCAGTGAGGCCGTCCTGCCCGAGCACCTACTGGCATGGGGATCTTGGAGAGCTCCCGGCCGATGCAGTTCTTCATGATGCTCCAGAGATTAAGGCTGTAGTTGGGCTTGTCGGGGATGCGGACTCGCCTCTTGACTTTGGGGGGGTCCTTGGGCACAAGTGAGGCACCATCCAGCACCTGCCAGAGAAGCAGAGTGCACATCAGCAGAGGCCATAGCCTCCCTTGGCCCTCCACACCTTGCCCAGGGCAGTCTGAGGACCAGTTGGCCACTTGGACACTGCTGGCAGGAGGGGTAGGCTGGCTCTGCCTAAACCATCAGATGAAGGCAGACCAGGGACCTGAAGGCAGCCAGGGCACTGGGCCCACACTGGGGGCCCCCCAAACTCAAAGTGCCAGCCTTCCCCCTTGGCCACCCTCAGAGTCTTCCCCTACTCACATTGTCTGATGAGGTCCAGTCCACTGAGCCTGTTGTCCCACCCTCAGCTTTTCTGCAAGAAACAAAAAGAGTCAAGTTATTTACAAATTTCAAGGTTTCTCCAAGACCTGGCCACCTTCTATCCAGACCCCTCAGTGAGGTCCGAGGGGCAGCCTGCCCAAGGCTGCCTCTCCAGTAGGGTGTCTCTAGTTCAGATGGGGCTGTGGGACCTGGGGCAGCGATCTGGAGGGGCTCCCACCCACTGATGCCTTGTGGGAGCATCTGCTCAACAAAGCCTTCACCTGAGGTCCCTGTACACAGTCCCCTCCTGAGGACTGGCTGACCCAGGACCAGAGGAGGCTGGGAGTGGGCACCTCCTCTGGGACGGCCTCCTGGAGCCCCATGGGCCCCTCTGCCACAGACCCCACTGACTCCTGCACTAGTTGGGTTCCAGAAGGGCAGGATGTGGATCAGATGCATCCCTGTGCCCATGAATACTTGTGGGGAGACGGTGGGTTAGAGCAGCAGGGGCACTATGGCTGGCGCAGAGGGAGCCCCAAGGAAGGGTGACCTAGGCCAGCTGGGGTGGAGGACAAATACTTGTCAGTCAGGAACTCAAAGGATGGGAAGGAGTCACCCAGGTCATCGGGGTAAGTAGGAGGGCGCTGAACATGAGGGGACACAGGCAGAGGACCTGCCCCTGCCGCTGCACAGTGTCGCTGCAACACGGGGGTGGGTCAGCTGTGTGGGTCTCGGGGCTGTGCCAGGAGCCATGGGAGCCAAAGAAGTATTAAGCAGGAGAGTCACTGCTTAATATTAAATTAAGCAGGAGAGTCACTGCTTACTGGTCGGGTGGGACCAGAAGGGCTTGGGGCTTTGGGCTGAGGTATAGAAGGATGCTGGGGATGGGGCATGAAGGAAGCTAGGCCTGGGTCCCTGGGGGCTCCAGGTACTGGAAGGATGGGAGAGGAATCGGAGGGCAGCCTGAGCAGGACCCTCCTGGCTGCAGAGCCCAGAGAATGGCACTGCTGGGTGATAAAGTGGAAGTTCAGAACGGCCAAGCTATGCTCATTTTGAGAGCAATAGAAGCAATTTAAAAATATTATTGGGAAATGGAAAATGATTCTGAGCTGGAAATATACTGCTGATAGGACCAGAGCGTTCCTGACGGGTAGAAGAGATCCAAACAGCCCTTTCCTTGGAAGAAACCAGGACAGGGACATGGTAAAGCAAGGCCAGGGGTTTTCACTGGCCTCCTCCTCCTGGACTGGGCTTCAGGGGCCCATGGAAGACAGGTGGGCTGTGGCAGGCAGCAGAACAGAGGTGGAGAATAAGACCAATGGCAACCTTGCAGTTCCTCATCCAGTCATGGGCAAGCACAGGAGGTTCTGCGACTCTGACACGCCCCACGGCTAAAGGTGGCGGTGGGCAGCACAGGCTATGGTTAGTTGTCACTGTCCCCAGGACGCAGCAGGAGCCCCAGACAACTGTGGAGCTCATCGCCACCCTTGTGTTTCGCAGCCCTACTGTACTCGACAGCCCTTTTCTCGTTAGGACCTTGAGCATTTGAGAATAAAGACCCTAATAAGGACAGAACTCCCAATTATATTATATTGACATTTCAGCCCTGGCATGTTCGCCTCTAACCACAGCCGGGACACAGGTTGAGCCCAGCCTGCCCACCTGGCTAATTTATGCCTTCTCTCTGACATGTTGTGCACCAGCAGGGTCCACCCCCACGGGCACTTGCTGAAGCTTGCAGGGAGTCTGACAACGTGGCTCTCAGTGCCAGTCAATGTCCCGGTTGCTACTGCGTGTTCTAATGTGTATTTAGAAACGTCCTGAAAGAGCAGGCTTTTGTGAAAAATGAAACAAAAGCTCAGAACTAGAAAAACAAAGATACTTCCTCCATCTCTCTTCTATTCTCGATTGCTGACATGCTGGAGGGGACCTTGTGCAACTCTAAGCGAGCCCCAGCCCCTGCCCCCACCTCCCTAGGCTGGAACTGTTTTCCATCTCCATTTAAAATGAAATCCTGATACAAACTCTATTTGGGCATTTTTGATTTAAGGAAGAACAGAACCAATCTAAGCGAAAATGCCACCTGGAGCGAGACTTAAAAGAAAACCCCATGTACAAATAGGAACAGATGGAGCACGAGAAGAACAAGGTGGGAATGGCTGCCCCAGGAAAGGGTCCTTCTGGGGCGGCTGCCTGCCCGGAGAGCCCACCTGTCCTCCTTGGCTTCCGTGATCACAGTGATGAAGGATGTGGAATCTTCCATGGCGTCGAAGTACTCGGTATCCTCATCTTCCTCACTGTCCTCTCCTTTGGGAGTCAAGAGGCTTCCTAGGGACACGCACAAAGTTGCTGCTTCAGTTTACAACCCTACAAAGGCTTGTCTCGCCCCACCAGGAGAAGTCCAGAGCCCAAGGGGCGCCCCCACCCTGCCCTCTGACATTGTCCCCACTTCACCTTCCAGCCCCTCCCTACTTTGGTCACCTCGTCCTGGTTAACCTGGCTGCAGCTGCCCTCACTTGCTGTTCTGGAACTTGCTTTCCTGTCAGTGCCCTGTCTCTTTCCTTCCCGAAGCCTCCCTGATCTCTCAACGTGCTGGTCAGTCTGTTTGTGGCCCAGGTGCCCTTTCTGACAGACCCCTTCCCAGGGTACCCATGACCCCTAGCCTGAGGTGGCCACCTGGCAGCCCTGCCACAGAGGCTGCAGCTGCCCTCACTTGCTGTTCTGGAACTTGCTTTCCTGTCAGTGCCCTGTCTCTTTCCTTCCCGAAGCCTCCCTGATCTCTCAACGTGCTGGTCAGTCTGTTTGTGGCCCAGGTGCCCTTTCTGACAGACCCCTTCCCAGGGTACCCATGACCCCTAGCCTGAGGTGGCCACCTGGCAGCCCTGGGGACAGCTGCCAGGGGACAGCTGGGCTCACTGAACTTGTTTACAGGGAGACTGTTGCCAGTTGGTGGCACTCGTGAGAAATACGAAGCCACAGAGAAGCTGGCCAGAGTTGGCCAAGACAAGCCCCAGTGTGGGCACGTTAAAGGGCGTGTGTATTGGGGACCACGTAAGAGAGCCAGCTGGACGAGGGGGAGGCTGAGGGTGGAGTGGACAGAGCACCAGTCAGATGGACAGAGGCCAGGTGGCCCCACTCACCCTCGCTGAAGCTCTTGGAGGGGTTGGCGGCCCGGCCAGGGGCGCTGCGGAAGGCCCGCTCAAGGCTGTTGTGCTGCTTGGCCAGCTGCTCAATGGTCTCCTCCAGGTGGACGCGCTGCTCTTGCTCATACTGCAGCGCACGCTGCCATTTCCGGCTGTGTGTCTCCGCTAGTTCCAGGAAGTCCCTGCAGGCCTGGGGAGGGAGCAGTGGCCTATGAACACTGGGTCTGGGGCGGGGTGGGGGCCTATGTGCCCCTACCCTCCACACCCTGCAGAGCAGTGAGGAAGACCCTGGGGTGCTGGTCTCTCCTTTCTCCCCATTCACTGGGTGGTCAGAAACACCTCTGTTGTCCTCTCTGGCTTCTGTGGGAACATGGGGACCCTGGCTTACTCACGCCAGCCCAGGGATTGCTGTGGTCAGTGTTCCACAGTTCCAATGCCACTTGAGAGCACCAAACCTGGGGTGTTGCTGGCCAAGGCTGTCTCGTCAGGAGCAGCTGGGAACACTGGCTTTTCCTCACAGCCCAAGCTCACAGCTGCCATATCCTGTGTGCTGAACCTGAGGTCTGTCACAACCCCAGACCCCAGTGGGACCCAAGGTACCCCTGGCTGCTCAGGCCAGTCCCTGGCTTTGGCACAGAAGGATTCGGGAAAGCCATAGTCTGCTATATTGCCTGGCTCAAGGTAATGAGTCTTGTTTGGCAGAGGGACTGGAACTTTCTATTAAGTTACCTCAAAGTCTTTATCACATAACTTTGCTTTTAAGGTTCCCTCTTCAAACTTGTGGACTACTATGACATCTAGATTCTTTTTAGCTTTCCAGGTCCACAGGTGGTTCCGCCACACTTTTGAATCAGAGATTGGTCATTCTGTCCCTGTCATCACAGTGGAGAGGAGGACTAAGGCCTCAGCCATCCCTGGAGGGCAGCAATGTCCACGCCAGAGGCCTCTGGGTTTGCCCTTTCTGGACTCCTTCACATAGCAGGAAGGGACGTTTCCTTGGCCCAACCTGCATTAGTGGTCCTGGCTGCCACCCCCAGCACTCCCTTCCCACACCTTGTTCCACCAGCCACTGGGCTCCACACACATCACGCTCTGTCTGACCCCGAGGGTTAGACATGCGTTCCTGGAGGGAGAGAAGCACACGGCCGCTCATCTGTGACACGGGGACAAAGCAGCACTATCTTGAAGCGCAGTCAGGAAGAACCAGGGAGGTGATGTGGAGACTCTTTTGATATTCTTTTGGGGGCCACCACTACCATCACCTTGGCACCTGGGGCTAATGCCTTCACCTGCCCTCTACCTCCTGCTGCTGCTCAGACTTTGCAGGCCTTTCCCCAAGGAAGGCTCCCGACCCCGCTCAGTCAGGGCCCCGCAGACACTCTCCTCCCCTGAAATTTCACATCTGCAAGTTGGCTTCTCTAGCAACTGTGCCTGTTATACTTAGTCCCACACAATCTCCCAAACTCAGCAGCTGCCCAGGAATGTTTCTTGGATAAGTGAACACCCTATGAAGGTGTGGTATCTTGGTCTCCCTCAGGGGAACGGCTCTGTGTTGGGCACCTGCCTGGGCTTGGCTGGCTGGCTGTCCTACCCTCCTGGACAGCTGAGGCCCGGTAACCCACTGGGCTGGCTTAGCAGAAAGGGTCCCCAGCCTGAGGCTCAAGAGGGACGGCTGCTCAGCTGGCCCCAGGCATGTCACTCTTTTAACAAGGCCTGCTCTGGTCACCTTCCCTCCATCATCTCATCTCACCCCAGTGACCACATGGAGTGCGCAGGGCAGGGGCTCCTTGCCCAAGGGAACCATCAAATGCAGTGGAAAAGGGCATGTGATTGGGAGTGGGAAGGCCTGGGCTCCTACACAAGCTACTCCACCCCTCTGAGCTGTGTCCTGTCTGTGAGACGGAACAGTAATGTCTGATAGACCCTGTGCTCATGGCCACCCTGTCTCACCTCACCCAGCAACATCCTTGAGGTAGGAGGAACGGGACCATTCCATTTAACAGATGAGGAAACCGAGGCTCAGTTTTTGGCAGCTCCCCTGCAAGGCTCTGGAAAGGAGCGTTCATGCCAGCTCAGGTTCAGAGGCCTCCCATCCTCCCCAAAAGGTCAGGGTGCAGGTTCCTGCCTGGCCATACCTAAGCCACCGTAACCCGCTCCTCCGGGAGGGGCAGGGATTTATACTGACAGGTGTCCTGGCACAGGTTGCGGGGAGAGACCTCGGGGAAGGAAAGAAATCTCCTTATGCACTTAACAGGCTCTGGGGACGGGAGAGCCTACATCCAGGGTAGTAGCACGTCTGAGGCTATTTTGAGTGTGCACAGTACGGATCTGTAGGGCTCTCCTGCTGGTGTGGAGCTGCACTCACTGACTACCATGCAATCCGGTGACCCACCCCCCACCCCCAGCCAAGGTGGGCCTGGGTGGGCCCAAGCTGCACTCACTGACTACCATGCAATCCGGTGACCCCCCACCCCCGGCCAAGGTGGGCCTGGGTGGGCCCAGGGAAAGCCAGCTCCAGCCCTGACTACTCCCTGGCTTGTGACCTGGAGCCAAACTTTCACCACCCTGGGTCCTATAGTGGCCTCCACCTTGCCCCTAGTTCCCACCCCACCCTCACCACTGCAAGCCTCAGGGTGGGGGCCCTGACAGCAGACACAGTGACTACTTGCCCCAGTGGCCTGACTCAAAGGCCCCTATTTGCTGAGTCTGCACCAGTGCGTGTAAGAGGCGGTAGTGGGGTGGGGGTTGGGGGTTTGCAGAAAATCACTCCGCGCCTAAGAAACATTCCAGACCCTTAAAGGAGTCCTGGAAGATGGGTGGGCAGGGACCTCCCCACCTCATTCCACAGATGGTGAAACTGAGGCTCTGAGGCCACACAGCAAGAGTCAGCAGACTCAGACCAGAACCCAGGGCCTAAACCCAGAGCTCAGTCCACCTGAGCTGCTACTCCTGTGAGACCCGTGTCCCACATCCTTGCTTTCCTGCAGCCCTAAGCTCAGCCCCAGGGCCCAGTCAAGTTAGTCTCAGGTCCTGCCACCTGTCTGCTGATCAAAGGAGGAGTCCTAACACTATGTGAGCTCCGGCTGGCTTTGCCGCTGGCCGAGGCTGCCCACCAGGCCAAGCCAGGTGCACAGGGCATGCCAGAAACTTGCCAATAGGCCTGGTGCTGGTGGAGGAGGCACACCCTCATGTCCCGGGATGGGCACTGGGCACCGGGCCCCGGGCCCACCGCTTTAGGGAAGTCTCTTGTCGGGTCCTCCTGTCTCCCCTGAGACTGAGGCCCAGGGAGAAGGGACTTCTCAAGTCAATAAGGGGCAAGCGGAGAGGATCCCGGGTCCGCCTGACCCCAGAGCCATGTTCCCCCCACAGAGCCAGATCATGTTCACCTTTGCCTGTCTGCCTTGGAGTGAGGGTGCAGAGGCCCAGGCGGTGTCGCACATAGAGCCTTATTATGGGCGAAACACATGATGGCTGCTGAATGGTTTCCCGGGTTCTTACTGGTCTGGGGGTGCTCTGCCCAGTGGCATGTCACCTGCTGCACCCCGGCCTGGCCTGGAAGCTGCACAAGGCCCGACGCCTCTGCCCCTGTCCTCCCCTTGGCGTTGCTCCGTCCTTTCTGCCGCCATCACTCCCTTAGTCGTCTCTGTGAGTTTTAACATAGATAGCTGCTTGGCTTTCACATAACTCATGACATTTAAAATAAGACTTGTAAGCGAGGCACAAACAACAGCATAAAATTGTAGCCAAAGATCATGGTAAATAATTCCCACAAACTCATGTCAGAAGGTGCTATACGGCCTCTGGGCTTCCTAACAGCAAAGCGGGAAAGATGATCTTGGCGCAAAGATCAACTCGGTTTCCTGCCTCCTGCCTTTGATGTTCACGAGCCATAAATACTTCAAAATGACCATTTTCTCTTCCAAGGGAAAAGTGCTGGTTTGCTGTATTTCCCAGGACAGCTGACAGCCTCTCACAGACCTGGCCCCAAATCCTCTGCAATCTCATCTCCTGGGGCCCTATCCCTCCCCACACCCTCACGTGTGGCCCACCAGCATCGAGTCTTCCTCCCCTTCTCTGGCTCAATCCCAAAAACCCTTGCTTATCCTGATGCCAGCCCCAGCTCCCTCATGCCACATACCTACTGTGGGTCAGGGCTGTCTGGGGCATTCTCATACGCACTGAGGTAGCCGTTTTAATAGCATGACAGAAGAGGGACTAGAGGCTCGGGGAGTTCAAGGGACTTGCCCAGGGCCACCAAGCAGTATGTGTAGGACCTGCATCCAAGTCCTCATGGACCTCATCAGCAAGTCTCCTAGGGCGTAGGTGGTGTGGTATCTCATGGCCTATTCGGACTGCAGCTGGGATCCCAGAGATGCTCACTAGCAAAGATGTTAGAAAATAACCCTGTTCAAGCAATGGGACCCAGCCCTGCCTCAGCCACGCCTGCTTCGCACCACTGTGAGTCCCTGCCTCTGGGGATGTTGCCCACATAGCCAGGGCTGCTGGCTGATAACGTGGTTGTGTGTGACCTCTACCTTGCTGCCACTGCAGGACAGGCTGGTGTGGATCAGTAGGGGGACAGAAAGTCAAATCCCTGGGATAGCTGTGGCCTCATATTGGCCACATGTGGCTGGGCATACAAAGATCAGAAAGTGTCACAGTTGCCTGAAGTGGGGGCAGGGTGGAGGCTGCTGTACCACGATGTTTAAGGGCTGGACCGGGGCCTTTGTCACTGCCACTGGGGGTGTTATCTGCAGCAGATGAGCTACCCTGGTCACTCTGTGGGCTGTGGCGAGCCTATCTGCCCCCTCCACCCAAAGCACCTACCTGGTGTCCGTCCCCAACTCCCAGGGTTTTCTCTGGTGCTGCCGGCCTTCTTCAGGCCCCATCCTGGCCATGCAGCGGAGAAGCAGGCGCTGGTTTGGCCCCACCGCCTGGAATGCTGAGCTGGGTGGTGCACTATATGCTCCCTAAGCTGGATTAGGCCTGGGGCCCAGCAAGGGGGCTGGCTGGGGGCAGCTTGCATGGAGCCCAGGGAAGGCCTGACTGACCCAGGCTCTGCCACAACTCTCAGCTATTGCTCAGCCCTGAGTGCCTTGGGCACCAGGAAGCCCCCTCCCCACACAACACTCACTCCCAAATCACGCAAGGGCTGGGAAACAGGCGGAACAAGGAACCCAGCGTCTGGGC